CACACACACCGCCGCCAGCGGCTCTGGCCACCCTGCTAACAACGCTGTAGAAAGATTCGTTGACACTTTGACATAGATCGAATGCTTGTCTTGTATTTAAAGGAGCCGCAAAGGAAACAAGCATGTTGATCTTGTGCAGACTGACCACAAGTAGGGTATAAGTTAACCTCATGAAATATTTTAAATGTGAAAGTAAGAAATTGATCGATGGAAAGAACTTAATTATAGTTACATGTTTGCTAAAGAAATAAACTAATTAAAAGCCTTCATGGTTATGTGCTAGTTGCTAGTGTGTAAAATGCGTAATGTGCTAGTCTAATTTCAACATGCAGTCAGGAGACATTTAACTTACTAGCCTTGGTCTTTAACATTAACATTAATTTGTGCGCAGCCTACATTACAAACTGTTCTGGTTGAAGTGTAGCCTAAATGCAATTGGTCAAATCGGTGTTGTTTTGAGCAAATGAATTGCATTCGCGCTGAAAAACAAGCGTTCTAGCGTGAAAATGCTTGGGATCTAATGTGGTCTGAACCAAAGTTTACAGAGCTGCGTTCTCTGGAATCCTCTCAAGCGGAGGACTTCTACACTCCGATTGGTTGCCGCCCAACCTAGTCATAGCTCATTACCATAAAGTTGACCTGACTTCAACTCTCCTCGACACCCTCACCGTCCAAGACGCGCTGCTGTTCGCCGCCGGCTCACATTGAAAATGAATGACTTCCGGCCACTTTGATGCTCTCGCCGGCTGATCGCGGCCACTCTAGTCAATGCTTTTTACACCAGCCGCGCCACGTTTCAGAAGCTGCTCTCCACACCACTTCGCTAAAGATAGGCGCCTCGCCTATTTTTGACTGACGTTAAAAAGTGACAAGTCACACTCGCGGTATTTTGATGCCATATACCGATCGGTCTACCTCAAGTCGAGCACACAGCTGCTGCTGCCAGTGCCACCTTATGACAATGGATTTACACTTCGAATTAGGTAGTCTGTCATCGATGACAGTAGCTCATTGGAAAAGGATGGAAAATGGCCTTAATTTTGTTTGCAGCTGGCAGGCAGCAGCATTTATTAGTGCAATCACCACCAATAAAGCGTTCTTCCATATTTTTTTTTCTATATCGTTATCGCAAATATTCTTGAAATATCATGATATAATTTTGAGGCTATATCGCCCACCCCTATTTTACATTAATGATTTGAGAAACCGTAATATTTTAATGACTTGTATAAATTATTTTTGTGTTACTTATGAATTAATTGATATATACCAGAATTTTAATTACATAACAAAAGTTACATTACTTGTTCATATTCATGATATAAATAAGAATGTATATGCACAAATACATTTTAATGTGAATGCTGTTTAGTTTTGATTTTCATTACTGGTTAATGACTAATTTGTCGTTTTTTTTTTGTTTTTTTCAGGGCCTGACTGCTAAACCACTTATAGGATTCACAGGAAACCAAGGGGTGAGTATGCAATTTTATTTTAAACTGTTTGTTTTGTGGCCGTAAACAACTCGAAACATTGATTGTCATGTTCCATCATGGAGCCGCAGGCCTTGCGTGAACCTGGGACTCTCCCCAGTTCTTGTGAAGTATCCTGGTTGTGTAGGTAATGCGAAAGCACTGAGACTTCTGATGACTTCCTGCTACACCGTCATCCATCGCAGTAACCACAATATCCTCTGCTCGTTGTTGCAAAATCAACATCGAGTCACAGACGGCCATTAGTATGGATCTGCTGTGTGTTTTTATCTCCACTTTGTATCTCTTTCTTGGACGTATAAGACAAGAAGTGTCTTAAGATCGTAGTCTGTAGCTGTGAACACATGCCCTACACTGGCATTAGAAATTTCCTCCTCTCTTGAGATCAGAACCCACATGCTTTTTTGTACATCTAGTTTTGGTTTTTCATGCGCTCAAGCTCACCCCAGACCTGACAGTGAACAGCCCAATAAATGTTCATGTTGCGGTTATCTGCATCTCATGTTGAAGAATGTGGTTTGTCTGCCTCGGAGCCATTTAAACTTCTCCTGCGTGCACATCTTATGTAAATATGCAGAAACACGACTGCAATTGTTACAAGCATCCAAACAAAACCACCATGTTTTCTGATTTGGAGGGGTGACGTTTATGGTGTATGTTTCCAAAACTTTCGGTCAGTAAAATGACAAATCTGTCTTTAAAACTACGTTTCTTTCTTTAGTGGAACAGAAATTGGGCAGATACCCATCTGGCAAAAGTTCTGGCAAATACCAATGAAGCAGTTATTATTTTCATGTTTTGGCCAAAAATAATAAATGACAATTTTTTTTCTAAACCATTTTATTTATATACTATTTTGCTTAATTTAAATAAAACACTAAAAATAACAATTACTGAAAACACCGTAAATACAGATAAATTACTGACACATAATATATTGGTAATGTATCGATTATCAGCAGATATAATAATAATAATAATAATAATAATAATAATAACAATAATAATTTTATTATTATGAAACAATGCATTTAATTTTGTAATTTAATTTATTTAGCATAATATACACAATATATCGGTAAAGTATCGGTTATCAGCCAATATTATAATAGTAATTTAATAATAGTAGTAGTAATAAAAGTAAAAATAATAAATAATGTATCACAATAATAATGTATTCAGTTTTGTAATTTTTTTTAAATTTACTATAATATATGCATAATATATCTGTAATGCATCGTTTTTCAGCTGATATTGTAATAATAAAAAAAAATAATGCATTTAGTTTTGTAATTTTTCATTTATTTAGCATAATATACGCATAATTGGTAGTGTATCGGTTGTCAGCCGATATTATACTACTACTACTACTACTAATGATAATGATAATAATAATAATCATCATCATATTTTGAAAATAATAATAGTGTTATTGAAGCAAAAACAAAAATGATGCATGTGGTTTTGAAACTTAATTTATTTAGAAAAATAATATAGGAATGTAATATTTGCCATATATCGGTTATTGAGGCACCATTAAAAATACCATAATTAGTAGTAGTATTTTTAATTTTATAAATGTATTTTATACATTTAATATTTTATGAATTATTTGTATAATTAAGCCACTTATTATGCACAATTTAAATGATAAAAAGAAAAAAATAAGAAAAAAGATTATTTTGTCTAAAATGAAAATAAATCACTTAATATAAATTAATTTAAATAGTTGCCATATATCAGTTATTGGCCATAACAGTGAAATAATTATCAGCGTAATAATCAGCGTATCGGTCATAATTTTATCTGCCAAAAGCTACACTGCACTTCGAGATATAATGTGGGACTAAATGATGCCTGTGTTGTAATACCACGGTACTGTTTTATTATCGTCAGATGTCAGAGATGCCAAACCAAACCGGTTGTGTCTAGATTTGAAGAGTTTCATAATTAGGATTGACTATCGCGGTGTATTTACTGACTCCTCAGGAACTGCACGTTCACACTCCGCCACGCTTCACTGCGTCACGTGTGAGATAAGAATGCCTATTTGCTGGATTAAAGCGGTGTTTCTCCATAGCTGTATCAGAGCTTTTGTGGCATATTGTGAGCAGACAGACAGCAGGAGAAACCTTGAAATGCTTATTTGGCTGCAGCGAACCAGAAAGTCTGCAGAGACGCTCAACACTACATGCGTTTGTCCTGCAGGCCCATCAGCCTCGCATTGGTAACCAATCGGCTGGCTTGAAATTTGCACAGCTGCAACATTTGACCTTTGTCCATAGGGCAGGTGCATCCATGAGCGTTACATGGACGGCCTGGTCTTTCTGAATAAGGCAAAGCTCTTCTCCAGGGATGAGCAGCATCCTGTCAGGAGCAGAAGTTCTCCACATGCAGCTTTGTTCTTACTGTGGACCAGAGGAAGCTCCAGTGAAGTCACTCTTTCACTCCTAGAGATGAGCTGGTTTGGAAACGGGGTCGTACATTTTTAGCAGTTTTTTTTTTTTTCTTTCGAAATTTTTTTTTTTTTTTTTTTGTAGTTGGTTCGGCAATTTGTGACGGTAAAGTGACCATACAGTCAGTTTTCACAGAGTTCCTTTTTTTAATTTTATTTTTAAGAAATGTTATTTGAAAAATAGCTGTGCTTTTGTATTCATCCAAGATTCTAATGATTACTTTATCAGCAAAAGTAATGTTACTTTATCAGCAAATCAGCATATTAGATTGATTTCTGAAGGATCATGTGACATCAGAGACTAATGATGCTAAAAAACACAGCTTTGCATCACAGAAATAAATGACATTTTTAAAATATATTAAAATACAAAGTAGTTATTTTTAATTTGCAATAATCTTTAATGATATTACTGATTTTACTGCATTTTTAATCAAATAAATGCAGCCTTTGAGCCAAAAGAGACTTTTAAACACACAAAAATACTGACCACAAATTTGAGCAGTAGTGTAAATTTAATAACAAAATAAGCTTAGTAAATTTTTAATAGTTTAATTTATAAAAATCTATGTAATTCTTTTAATTAAAAATAAAATGGTAATAATATTTCATAATATTACTGTTTTTACTGCATTTTTAATCAAATAAATGCAGCCTTGGTGAGCATGACTTTAAAAAAAAAAAAATTTTTTTTCTGACCAACTTTTCAAACGGTAATGTAAATTTAATAAAAAATATTATTTAAAAAACGGTTTGGTACATTTCATAAAAAAAGATAAATTTATAAAAAAATCTATGTAATTCTTTTGATTAAAAGTAAATAAAATTGTAATACATTTAGCAATATTACTGTTTTTACTGCATTTTGTATCAAATAAATGTAGCCTTGGCAAACAAAACTTCAAAACAAAAACCTTTAAACGAATAATCACCGTTAAATATAATCTTTTACAAATGAATATCCATTTTTCATACTGTACATTATGATGCCTGAAGTCACTTATGACAATGACAATTAGTGAATAAAATGGCAATTAGTCATTGTTACGACTAACTTTAGACAAAATTATTTGCAATTTAATATATTTGTAATGAATAAAATATGCATTACATTTTTAATGTTATTTAAATGTTAACATTGTCCATTTATCAGTTAATTGTTACATTAATTCAAGATGTAATGATCCGCTTATCTGTACGGGTGAGAATAGTCTGGGAATTAAGTTCAAGTTTTAAGTTGTTTTTTTTTGTCTCTTCTCAAATCACAGTTTGCTCCCCCGGTGGATTGAGGCAGTAGTTTTGGCCACACCACGCTAAGTTACTAGCGCTGACTGTTAATCACGCTGGATTTCGCACTTTGAAGTGCGTCATGTTTTTTTGGCCTGTGACGCAAGCTCTTCCTTCAAGAGCTGGGGTTTTTTCCTCTCTCAGCGCAGACATCTAAAAACTGAAGTTAGGAGCCGTCTCCTTAAAGCTGTTAAAGCTGCAACGTTTCAGCCAAGGCGTGTAATAAAACACAACAAAATAAAAGGCATAACTGCTAATATAAATCCTGATTGTAAGTGGCAGAGCTAACAGAGCCGCCGTCTTTGCTTGTTGAATCTCTCGTGTCGGAGTGTGAAGAGTGCTGCGTGAGGTGAGCCAGCGAAGTGAAGCGTTGAGCTGAGAGAGCCTTGGACACGGCCTGTTATTTATAGTCGGCCACCTGCAGGCCACACAAGTGTGAGGAACCTTGAGTAAACAGAGCTGGAGCTCGGCGGTGTGTCCCGCTGCTGTTCACTGGGCCTCTGCGGGGATCCTCCAGCGCTTAACCTCAGTCAGGGCCACTCGCTCCGTCTGCACCTCTGTCTCTCATGCCAGCTCACCCACAGGAATGGTGGTTGAAATTACCAGCCGTTTTTTTATGAAGTATTTAGTATGTAAATGTCGTGTGTTTTTCAATAAAATGTAAAAAATATATGAAGAAATTCAATAAAAAAAATTTGGTATGATTAATTGATAAAACTGATGAATTTGGTAATTGATCAACTGAATTTAACTATAATAGAAATAAATACTTTAAAAAATATTTCAACTTATAGCATTGTTGTTGTTGGCTATAATTATTATTATTTGAATAATTAAGTCTTATTTCTTTGTATTGATAAAACTGATCATTTTTAGAATAGAATAAGAATAATGCTAATAACAATATACTTTTGTTTCAATGATATAAAATGTGTTACCTGTATAAGATAATTTAAATTGTTTTTTTTTTTTTTTTGTATGAATTTATTTTAAATTCAGTGATAAATGATACTTTAACTCAACTGAATTTAACTATAATAGAAATAAATACTTTAAAAAATATTTCAACTTATAGCATTGTTGTTGTTGGCTATAATTATTATTATTTGAATAATTAAGTCTTATTTCTTTGTATTGATAAAACTGATCATTTTTAGAATAGAATAAGAATAATGCTAATAACAATATACTTTTGTTTCAATGATATAAAATGTGTTACCTGTATAAGATAATTTAAATT